TCCCATGCTCACTTTTCCTATATTTCAGTGTGGATGATTAATATTGTGCAGTAAAGGTGTGCTGCAGTGTTTGGCAATATCTGCAAATGGCACAAAACACAACATTGAGAGGCAAAGTTAGGGCAGTCCCACCTGGTTGGCTCTGCCTCCCTTCCCTCAAATAATCCAGCTTCCTCTCATCCTTATGTTTCCTCTTCATTTACCCAGTGCCTTAGCCTTACTATTAAATGACTGTTATGGTCATCTCTTCTAATGTGTTAGTTGTCAGGTGGCAGCTCCAAGGAGTAGAAACACTTTTTAAAGAACACTCTTGAAGGAGAAAAGAAAGTGACCTTGAAGCAGATGCTATCATTTCCTCCAATCACATGCAAGACGTCAACGACGATTTGAAAACCACCTCTGAACATTTGCCAGTCATTGAAAGAGCTCCTTTTATACCCTCCCTATTCTGCAAAGCTTTTCCACATACTGACCACTCCTTTGGAACTCCCAAACAACCTGCAAAGCGGTAGAGTAAGGCAAACCTGTCACCAGATTACCAAATGGTGCAAAGTCACAGAGAGGTTACGTGGGCCTCCCAAGGTCACACAGCCTGGACAGCAGCAATCCTGGATCTGCAAGGTCCCAAAATAAATCATTTTTCTCACCACAGAGGCAGTTCTCAAATTCCACCTCTGGGCACTAATATCCCCCTATCTCTAATTACCTGCCTACCTCAGTCCACGTGAATTCCAGAATATAAGACCCAGCTTTTTCAGCTGACCTTCTCTAATATGGAGCAATATAATGAGGGTTCTGGCATTCTAGCAGATAATATTTCTGCTATAATTGTTTGGGGGTAGTTTAAGTGGTATTGTATTTGGGCCTCAGAATTGTACTAATCCTATACTAAGGGTACACATTAAAAATCAAATACGGGAACATAGAAAATTTAAATGGACCTAAAAAATACACCCAAGCCTCCCAACTGGGAAATAAATATTTTCAAGTACAGCAGGTCCTTGAATAATGTCATGTTGTTCAACATCATTTTATTATAAAGTTTATGAGGTGCCGTAGGGACTTAGCTCTTGTTTATATCAATTAGCCTATAGTAAAACTGGTTTCCTCATTTGTCATTTCACTTAGTCATACAACCTATTGATGGTGTTAAGTTACATGCTATTCTGTATGCTCTAAGCCTTCAACTATGTTGCTCTTTATATATATATATATAATTTTTATTGATTTTGCACAGAAAGGAAGGGAGAGAGGTAGTTAGAAACATCGATGAGAGAGAGTCATCGGTCAGCTGCCTCTTGCACACCCCGTACTGGGGATATGCCCGCAACCAAGGTACATGCCCTTGACCGGAATTGAACCCGGGACCCTTCAGTCCCCAAGCCGACGCTCTATCCATTGAGCCAAACCGGTTTTGGCAATTGTTTTGCTCTTAAACCACAGTTTCTGCTGTCCTATTGGGAACCATGGCTGTTAGAGGCAGGAGATGGGCACTGTGTGTTGGCAGTGAACCCTTCTGGGAAGGTGTCATTTAGAAGACAGTTCATTAGATTCTTTGTGGGGTGGGCGTCACACTGCTCTTTGGAAGCATAGAGACCGGAGGGCTTCCCTCATCACTGCAGCGTGAGGTTCATAAAACTGCCCCCAGATCACAGACCACTCAGTGTCCCTCTGAAGGCCCATCTTCTGACTAACAGTATGGAAAGTTCCCAAGTCACGTTTCTTATTCAGCACATTTCTGTTTGACAACACTCTCCGTGCTGCTTTCCGTGTCACTGCTCCCGCTGGGACACTGCCGCCCAACGGCACACTGGAGCTCCGCTGTCCATTCTCATGTCCATTCTCAAAGACGATGCAGAGCTCTCCGCTGCCTCGTCCAAATCCCTCTCCCTGTCACGTGAGACTCTTCATGTCACAGCCTGAGGCTACCTCTCTGCCTCTATGCTGACACTGTCCTGTGTGCTTCACACAAACTCATTTCCTGTCCCTCACAAACACCCCAGACTGTCCTCCTACCCTATTCGCCCGGTCGCTTCTTTCACCTGGAGTACCCGTCCTTTCTCTGCCTGATTCCTACTCAGTAGCAAAAGTCCAGCTCAAACACCTTCTTTGCTCCTCCTTATTTGTATGCAATTGACCTCTGAACAACACAGGTTTGAACTGCATGGTCCACTTACATGGGGACTTTTTTTTTTTTTTTTCAATAAATGTGTTTTCCTTATAATTTTCTTAGTAACATTTTCTTTCTTCTAGCTTACTGTATTGTTACAAGATAATATGTCATTCATGTAACATACAAAATAGGTGTTAATTAGGTGTTGGTTACAGATAAGGCTTCTGGTCAACAGAGGGCCATTAGTAAAGTTTTTGGAGAGTCAAAAGTTATAGGTAGATTTTCAGTGCCCTCAGCCCCTGAGCTGTTCAAGGGTCTGCTGCACGTGCCTTCGCTCTCCTTTTAAGTTGTGTGATACAGGACTTAATGCGACAAGTCAGTTCCTAGCAGGCGCTCGATAAACTTGGCTGTGTAAGTGCACAGACCTCACGGTCCACTCCACTGCTTCACGAGGCAGGAGAGTGCAACGGGGTCTCAATGGGTCTCAATGTCGGATGGTAAATCAGTAGATCATTAGCGAGAGCTCTGGCCCTTCTGCAGTTTGCTTTTTCCACCTGGTGCATTTTTCTCCACTTTGTGGCCCACGGCCTTCATCGTTCTGCCTCGGTTGAATGTGCATATCCACCACCTCAATGCACACATAGTAAGAAAGTTTGGGTGTTGTTGTTTCCAGGATTCCCGAAGTTCTGAAGTAATAATAATACTTTTTTTTTTTCCCTAGAAGATTTTGTCATTCTTACAAGGCTGTGTGGTTTAGGAGGAGCTAAGGCAAACAAATCCTGAATAAAAAGTTCAGGTCCCAGATAACCACCTGGATTCCCAGAGCCCAGCCAGCGAGGCAGTCTGAGTGAACAACTGTGCTTGTCGCTCCTCTGGTGCACGCCCCGGTGACACGGGTTCCTGAAGTGTGACTGGAGATCTGACCCAGTGAAACCCGCCCAGGGGGCACCGGGGCCGCTGAAGCATGAGTCTGCATTTCTCAAGTCCGAGTAACAGAATCTGAGCCTTGCGGAGCAGAGGGCGGGCCAGAGGCTATCTGGTGGCCAAGAGCAGGGCTGGGGCTTTAGAATAACAGCTGGAGGCTGTAATCCGATGCTATTCCAGGACGGTTAGCCAGTTAATCATCTCAATCATCCACTCGTTATTCATAAACCCGGGAAACCAAGTTTGCTTTTGGCTGCTCCCTTTGCCTTTCAGGTTACACCGACATGATGCGGTCCTTACCTCTCCCTTGTGTCGCATAAAATGCAGCTGGCACGGGAAAGCATCTTGTCATCGTGAGGGTCACGTGTGAGCGCTGGCCTGGGACGGCCCGATCACTGCTGCTCCCAGAGCCAACACAGGTGCTGGCAGTTTAGGGGCACGGCTTTTGGTAGTTCTTCAAACCTCGTTAAGGCTAAATCCACAGAGATGTGAGACCAGCAGCCGTGTAATCTGAGGCAGGAGTGGCCCTTACTGTTACCTCCATCATCCATTTTATTGCAGCCTTGACGGAGAAGAGTCAAGAGGGTGAGGATTTTTTTGTGTCTTAACTGTTAAAAATTCTCAACAGCAAATCTATCAAACTAGTCACACTAGGAGCCCAACCTCAGTGTGAGTCCTTCCCCAAAGCCCACACTCCCTCTTCAGGCTTTGTATCAGGAGAGTCAAGACAAGGACTAGGGAGTCAGGCTTCTGGGTCTGACCTTCGCTACTACATCGCCTTAACGATTCTCTCTGGGCTCGCTTCCTCGTCTGTAAAGCGTGAGTGGCCATAACAATACCAACGCACGTGATTACTGTGATAAGTAATTACCTCATGGGAGGCCAGTAAACGTTAGCTCTTATTTGCACGGTCTTGAATTTAGCTATGATCCATTGTTCTGGGAGTTTTATGGGTCCTGGGAAAATATGACCTTCGTTCATCTGTGATGAGGGAGGAAGAACACATACTACATCTTTTTGTTTCATGGTCAGATCTCTACCTGTGTGATTCTCAGAGTGTGGTCCCAGGACTCCTGCAGCTCCCCAGCAGCCAGGCCCTTAAATTGATATACATCACTGCATACGTGTAAAACACACAGCATGACGGTTTGATTTATATTGTGAGACAATTACCACCATCTTCTCACACAGGTACAATAAAAAGAGACAAAAAAAAAGAAAAAAGGGAAAAATTTTTCTCCTTGTGACGAGAACTCTTAGGATTTACTCTCTTAACAACCTCCCTATATATCATACAGCACTGCTAGCTGTTGCAAAGCCACCTTTATCATACTAAAATGTTATTTGCCTTTTTCACTCTCCTGAGTGTGGAGTGGAATTTTCCAGAGGCTACATGCCAGGTCAGGATGTAATCACTAATAGGTAATGGAATGTGTGCTTGTATATCCTTGCGTATGGTGTGGAGTTTTTGTTGTTGTTGTTGTTGTTTTGTTTTTATTCCTCAACTGTTTCTAATAGAGTAAATAGCAATCGCATTAACCCACATAAATAAATCTCTTTGGGGTGCTCAATAATTTGTTTTTGTTTTTTATTTCAGAAAGGAAGGGGAAAGGTGGGGAGAGAGAGAAGCATCAGTGATGAGAGAGAATCGTTGACCAGCTGCCTCCTGCACGCCCCACACTAGGGATTGAGCCCAGCACCCGGGCCTGTGCTCTGACCTGGAATGGAACCGAGACCTCCCGGTTCATGCTCCACCTCTGAGCCACCGGGCTGGGCCAGTTTATGAGTTTAAAAAGATCCCGTGACCAAACACTGAGACCCCCTCCGCTCGACTATTTTTCATGTCCAAGTCACCCTCCCCACCACCCCTCAAAATCCTTTATGCAAAAAAAAAAAAAAAAAAAAAAAAAAATGCCAACCTTTGAGACCCTGCCCCGCCCACACCCGCCCCGCTGTGTTGCAGGCTGTCCGGGGCCGACCTGCCCGGCGAGGAGTGGCTGGACTACGAGAAGCACGGCCACCGCCGCTCCGTGATCCGCAGGGTGAAGCGCTTCCTGAGCGCCCACGAGCACCCGGGCAGCGCGCGCGGCCGGCGCTTCGCCCGCCAGGCCAGCGAGAGCTCCGCCTTCTTCGCGCCCGGCGACCTCAGCCCCCGCCGCGACCTCCTGGACGTGCCGGCCCGCAGCCCGCGCCGCGCCGCCAAGCCCGCCGCCCCCGACGGCGCCGCGCGGCACGCCAGCCTGGGCGAGCTGTCCACCATCCGCGAGGCCAGCCGCACCAGCACGCTGCAGAGCCTCAGCCCGCAGCCCAGCCCGCGCGGCTCCCCCGCCACGATGCCCCAGGTCCCCGAGCTGCGCGTCACCGCGCCGGGGCCCGCGGCCGCCGAGGACCTGGGGGACTCCACCGCCTCCCTCCAGAGCTTCGACTTCACCGGGGTGCAGCCCGGCGGCCCCGGGGACCCCCTGCGGCTCATGGTGTTCCCCTCGGGGGAGGGGACGCCGCCGCGAGGCCCCAGTCCCCAGACTGTCTCCATCCAGGCTGAGCCAGACCTGTTCCCCTTCTCCCCGGAGGAGGACCCTTTTGCCAACGACTCGTACCCCAAAAGGTGGAGCCTGCCCGGGTTCCTGGAGTCCAGCCACACCTCCCTGGAGGCCCGAGGCGGGCCCGAGCCCGCCGCCAACCCCCCGGAGCCGCCCCTGCTGCTCGTCGACCCAGAGACGTCCTCCGAGGCCAGTGGCATCAACTTCGTGGCCGGCCCGCGAGCCTCCCCGGACCTGCTGTATCTGATGGAGACGCTGGACACCAAGGAGACGGACATCATAGAATTCACCAACGAGCGGGCGGACGGATCGCCCGGGGGAAGGCCAGCCGCCGGCTCCAGGACCTAGGGCTGTCTCCATCCTTCCTTCCTTCCCCTGAGCTCGGCGTCAGGTCCAGGATGTGTCCAGGGCTGGTCAGTTGTTCAACAGCAATCACACTGGATAAGCTGTGTAAAATTCTGAAGGGCATTACGATCCGGACGTTTTCAACCGAGAAAATCCAGCGGATTGGCTTCCATGGACTTAACCCTGACTGCAGTGATGTATCTTAACCAAATAAGGAGCCTTGCATACACATGTGATTTATAAACTCACAGATTGTCCGCTTTGGAAAACACCTGAGAGATCATAATCCAACCTCCTGGCTTTGCCAAGAGGAAGACAGAGAATCCCCAGTTTGTTTCCTTTTTCTTCTTCTTTCCTTCAATCGTAAAGACAGGGAGAGGGCTCGATCGCTGCATCCTAATTATGAGCTTTTGTTTGAGGCTTTCCTACCATTTCACTCCCACTTTCGAGCCTACTTATTATCGCTTCCTACTATTAAGCTTACATTCTTAAATTGAAGCTTCAGCTCCCATTTCCTTTTCTCCTTTCACCACTTCATTTTTCTCTGTTCTCGCGTTATTCTCCCATCTCTCTCTAGTCCCCTTCCTGGTCTTGCTCCTTTTCTACTACTCCAGTCTGTCCCACCCTGCACGTTACAATACTTGCTCTTGCCAACTCGATTGCTTACCTTTCGCCATGATTTTCAAAATGTGAGGCATTGGCAAAGCCTCCCGCAGGATAACCGAAGATGTCAGCAAATCCACTTGACGCGCTTCCAGCCTCTCGGTGGAGAGGGTGGGAGTCCATGGCACCCGAAGCCTGGGCAGCCAGGGCGTTTCTCCCCGTCTCCACCCTGAGGCCTGGACACTGGAGAAAGCTGAAGCCACGTGGGCATGAGACTTAAATAACCACATGCTGTGGAACCAAAGAATACTAACGCTCGAAAGTGTTTAACTCGAACTCTTAAAGCCAAAATCCCAATCTTGTCACAGCGCGGGACCACTTACTGTGTCTGCCAGATTGTTGGGGATGAGGGAGGACGTTGGAGCTGGAAGGTTTAGGGGGTCCAGGGCTGCACGAGGGATTGGGACTGGGACTCACTCACAGCTCTTGGGGTGGCTGCCAGTGGGGGGCTCCCAATTTTGTCTGGAAAGCCATGTCTTATGAGTGCTGCTCTCACTACTTCTGTCATGTGATGCAGCTTGACTCCATAAGGTTTAAGAAATAAAACAACCCTAATAGCCACCATGTACTGCGTGCTCCGTGTTCCAGGCAGTACATGGAAAGTTCACAGATGACCTCTCTAATCCTCACGGGAATCTTATGGGCGGATATACTGTCGTCTCCATTTTCAAGATGAAGATACCAGAGGCTTTGGAGAGGTAAAATAATTGGACTGGAACCACATAGCCAGGAAGGGGCAGGGCTCAGATTCAAATCCAGGTTTCTGACTCAGGAGCCCATACTCTTAGCTCATGAGTTCCCTCCCTCCTTGTGCTGTGCTGTCTGCAAGGTCCTGAATTTCCCAGAATGCCAGAGGATGCGCTGAGAGAGCCATGCCTGCGTTTCTCCAGCCTTGGAGGCCTCCCAGGCCCTCCCTGCTGAAATATATATATATATCTCCTTTTTTTAAATTGATTTCAGAGAGGGCAGGAAAGAGAGAGAGAGAAACATCAATGATGAGAGAGAATCATTGATCGACTGCCTCCTGCACGCACCACACTGCAAACCAAACCTACAACCCAGACATATGCCCTGACCGAGAATCGAACCCTGACCTCCTGGTTAATAGGTTGACACTCAACCACTGAGCCACGCCAGCTGGGCTACCTGCATCTTTAATGCATGCATACAAGAGAGCATTGCTGCATGTTGGAGCCGGCCACGGTCCTCTTCATCTTCCTGAAAGAAGGAAATTGGCAGCCCCAGTCCCCTTCCCCTTCCCAACTCCTCCTGACATGCAGTGCTGTCATCAGCACATTTTCACAAGGCATCGCAGCATCCCAATGACCACCCCAGCTGCACGACAGCCGTGGCGTTTACCTTCACTGGCCTTTCTCCAAGGACTAAAAGGAAATACTCTTAATATTGGAAGAAATGCTCTACATTGATGGCTTTCTATGTTGGTTGATAGTGTTACTACCTGGGAAGGCACTAATATCCAACGCTTTACACAGACTACGGGATCGGCCTCAAATATAACACTTCTAAAAGGCAGAAACTTTGCCCCTGCTGGTTTGGCTCAGTGACTGGAGCATTAGATCCCGGACTAAAGGGTCCTGGGACCTATTCCAGTCAAGGGCATGGACCTTGGTTGTAGGCTCATCCCCAGCCCCATGCCGGTGCGTGCAGGAGGCAACCAGCCAATATGTCTCTTTCACATCATTGTTTCTCTCTCTGTGTCTCTTCCCCTCCTTTCCACTTTCTCCAAAAATCAATGTAGAAAATATCCTCCAGTGAGGATTAACCAATAAAATAAAATAAAATAAAATAAAATAAAATAAAATAAAAATTTAAAGGCAGGAACCTTAACCTTCTCTTAATACTCTTCTCTTTAATATTTCAATTTAAGTTCTCTACTCTCTTCTCTTTGGCTTTATCTATTGCTCAAATGCAAATGTTTCTACTTAGCTGCTTTTGACATATAATTAATTTTTGTCCCTAACTGCAAAATGGTAAATCATACACAATTAGAATCATGCATTTTGTCAAGGACTAAGAGAGTCTTTGTTTATTTCTGTTTCCATCCATTCCCTCATGCACCTTTGTGCAGAGAATTAATGTCTTTGATATTTCATCAAAATCTGTGGTGGCCTCCCCTTTCCTCCTTGTCCTAAAAAACGAACAATGATTCATTCATGAGCCTATCACCTAGACTGCTGATTTTCAGTGGAACAAGTGTAAAGTGGCATGTAACTACTGTTTAATTGGCACTTACTTGCCAATTGCACATCACTAGCTGCTGTAGCATGACATCTGATTTACTAATGACATTTAGCATCCCTTCACTTACTCCTTAATTCTCTTGGGTCTCCTCTTTTAAAAATTGCCTTTTCACGTTCTTTACCCTTTTATCTATATTTCTCCTGTTGATTTCCAGGAGTTCCTTCTACATTTTAGAATGGTAATAGGCCCCTGTTAGTTTGAACATCATAACAGTGTTTTCCAACTCTTTGTGTGTCTGTTAAAAGTGTCACTGGTGTTAGTTGTTGAATAGAAAGCCTTCATTTTAGTATAATCAAGTTCATCAAATTTTTTGTTTTATTCTTTTGAAGTTTTTGGGGGGAAAGTCTTTCCTAACCCCTATCATGATTATTCTCCTACCATTTTTATTTTCTATTATCTTAATAACATTTGGCAGGGATCCAGTTTCATTTTTCTTCATAGAATGAGCTGGTTTCCCTACAAGCCCTCCTATTAAAAGCTCAGTGATAAGTCCCACGTATTTCTTGCAAATCAGATGCGCTGGTATGAGACAAAATAGCGTCTGAGAGAACTAACGGAGAGCGTGGTGTGAGTAAACAAAAGAAAGCTGAGTCTTAACCTCATAAAACTCTAGCTCCTTCCCCCTGAATACAAACTTTCTCCAAATGCATCTCCTCTCTTGTCTTCCGACTGGTGCTTTCCCCCTTTCGGTGCCTGGAGTGTGTAAACCCAATACCTTCCTCTATGCAAACACTAACTAAAAATTCAGGCCTGTGTGACCAGGCTGAGCCTAAGCTGCAGGAGTAGAACCTGATACATAACGAGATCTCGCTAAAGAACAGCGATGGTGCTGCAGGATTCTTCACATTCAAAGGAGGGCAGGAGGAGTTCAGACAGGTGGAGCCCACCGTTAAACTATTTAGGGTCAGAGGTCAGCAGAGGTGGGGGCGGAACACCAGGCGGCATCGCTTGTTCTTTCCGGTTGAGACCTGCCCTGCGCTCCAGGACTTTTGCCCTGTCTCCTCTTGGCTCTCCTGTACCAGGCTGTGCTCAAAGATGGGTGGACGCTGGGTGTTTCCTGCCACACCTGGGACACTGGCAGATGGCTTCAGAAGAGAACGTAATCTCATCTGCTCTTTATACCTCAAGAAATTAAGCTCTCTGAAATTGGCAGCCTCCTTGACAAATGACAAACTCATTATTTATCCACATGGTCCTTGGACCCTACAATCCCAAAGGGACATACACTTTTCAAGATTAGAAAACACTTTCAAACAAAGGGCCAGTAAGAGTGGATTTATCCCCAGTAAGAGTGGATTTTTTTATTACTTTTGTTACTAAAAAGAGTAAGAATACAGCAAGCTCCAGACTGACACAGTCACCCTCTGCAAGTTTGCTCCTCCGGCCCCAGCTCAGAGGCCGTGTGCCCTGCTGCTCTGTCAGGAAAGAAGCCCAGGTCTAGCTGAGGGGCCGGGGAGGTAATGCAGCTCTCCCAGCGACAGTGGAAGTGGGCATGTGCTCTCATGTGCTCGACTGGGATGTACTAGTAAGCTCTGTTACTGTCTTGCTCAATCAGGGTATCTCTGTGCTTCGGACAGTGCCTGACACATTAAAAAACATTAGATGAGCCCTGACTGGGTACTCAATGGCTCAACTCTCAGTCAAGGACACATACCTCAGTTGTGGGTTTTCCAACCCCTATTTAGTGCCTGAAGGAGGCAACCAATCAATCTGTCTCTCTCACATCAATGTTTCTCTCTCTCTCTCTCTCTCTCTCTCTCTCTCTCTCTCTCTCTCTCTCTCTCTCTCTCCCTCCCCCCTCCTCCCTCACTTCCACTGTATAAATCAATGGAAAAAATATACTTGGATAAGGATGTTTTTTTAAAATTAGATGAATGAATGCTTGAAAGAAAGAATTAATTAATTAACCAAATTAGAACTAGGTCCAAAGTTAAGAAACCTAAAATCTCAATCAAATATAACCAAAACCTTAGCTATGTGGTCTCAATCAAGTTATTTGAACACTCTGGACTTCATTTGCTCAGCTCTAAAATGAGAGGTTAGACTAAGCGATTTAAGGTTTCAATCAATTTCTGTAG